GCTCGCCTCCCTCCCTATCCGCCGCAGGTACTCCCCGAAGCACCCGTGCCCGGTGAGCACCTGCGACGTCCTGAAGGAGGCCCTCGCCCACGGGCGCTCCAACCATTTCTCCAGACACGGGAGGATGGCGTCGACGGTGCGCTTGCCCGGCGTAAGCGGCGCCGACAGTCGCGCCCGCCACTCCTCCCGTGTCTCCCTCTTCGCCTGGGCCCCGAGGAGCCTCCGGACCCTCGCCGTGACCGGGACGCCCTGCCCCCGGAGCTCCCTGGTGCGCCGGTATACTTTGGCATACTCGGTCGCCACCAGGTCAAGGGGCGGCATCCCGGCCAGCAGCGTGGCCGCCGTGTGGGATACCGTACGGTACCCCCGTATGGCCCTGATGGCCATCCGCCTTTGAGCCCCCCTGAGGATCGACAGGGATTTCCTGTTCCTCAGGAGGGGCTCCGCCCACACGGGGGCACCGTACGTCGCCATCGATGAAATTACGTTGGCGTAAAGCCGACGAGTCCTCCCACACGGCCCGCCCAGATTGGGCATTATGCGCGATAACGCATTACCCGCGCTGTCCAATCTGGGCACCAGTCTCCGGAAGTGCTCCCCGAAACCCCAGGTTCCATCTATGTGGAGGCCCAGATATTTTATCTGGGCCCCCACCAGAATGCGCTCGCCATCTACGCTGATTCTGGCTTCAGGTGGCGGCCTGGCCGAGCGGCGGCCTCTATGACGATAAAAGAAGACGGCCTCGGTCTTCTTGGCCGCCACCTTCAGCCCTAACGCCTTAATCGCCCTAATGGCGCAGGCCACCGCCAAGTTACCCTTGGCGATGGCCTCCCCCCAGTCCTCCCCGCCGGCTAGCACCAGTGTGTCATCCGCGTAACACACGCATGTGCAGCCAGCGGGGAGCGCCGCGCGCAGCACGCCATCGTACGCAACGTCCCACAGGAGTGGTCCTAGGACCGACCCCTGCGGGACGCCGCGGTCCGCCCTCCATATGCGGACGTCCCCCTCCCGGTCCGCGCACGAGATCGTTCTACCTCGCAGGTAGTCCCCGACTATTTCGCGTAAGTAACCGGGGACCTCCAACCGTTCAAGACCCACCACGATCTCTCGATGGGGGACGGAGTTGAAGGCGTTTGCCACGTCGAGGGCAACAGCCAGCACAACCCCTCCATCCCCCATCATCCCGTCCGTAATCTCGCGCACGTGAACGATGGCGTCCACCGTGGAGCGCCCCTCCCTAAAGCCGAACTGCCTCTCGGACAGGCCGGGCCCGGCGTTCTCGATGTGTCCCATCAGACGGGACGCTATCACCCGTTCGAGAAGTTTCCCGGCCTCGTCCAAGAGGCAGATCGGCCTATAACTCCCCGGCTCCTCCGGGGGTTTGCCCTCTTTGGGGAGGAGCACCAGCCTCGCCCT